CTTGGCCGATTGCAACAGAGCAACGGTTGAAGGCCGGGTAGTGCAGCCCCTTCGTCGGCTGCTCGGCAGTCGGGATGTACTGCAGTGAAAATTTCCCGCGCTTCACCATGTGCTACAGCCAGGCCTGTCGCCGCTCCATGTGCTTGAGGTTGCCTGTCAACCCCATGCCCTCGGCAACCGTGATGGCCGACTTGTTGTCCACTCTGAGGACAGTCGGCTTCCCAGCGTCCAGCCGTTGGAACTCCGCGAGGAGGAAGCGAAGGCGACGTCCCTCCTTGCCGGCTTCGAGGGCCACCACGTACTCCGACTCGGTCGATGACAGCGTTGCGCACTTGATGCGCTGGCTCGACCAGGAGACCACGGCCCCTTCGTAGACGAACACGTAGCCGCCCGTGCTCATCCGGTTCTGCTTGTCGCCGGCGTCGTCGGTGTCCAAGCAGCCAACCAACTCCAGTGACTCCAGTAGCCGTCGTCGGCTGAACTCCAAGGCGGTGTCTCGCGTGTTGGGGAGGTAGGCGAGGCAGCGGTCGACTTTGCGCCAGCGCTGATCACTCCTCATCGTAAGGCCGCTCCCCAGCTTGCTGCACGCGAATGCGATGTCCGGCCTCGTCGTCGTCGCCGCAAACTGCAGCGAGCCAACCTTCTGCCGGTACTCCTCCTCCTCGCGCTCTTGCGCTTCCTCGTCGTCGAATGTCTACTCCGCGTAGGCGGAGACGGAGATCGGCGTCTTCAGAGTGCGCCCGGACTACTCCTTGTCAATGAAGCGCCTGCGCAGCTTGTCGGCGTAGCCCTGCTGGTGCAGCCACAGTTTTCGCGCCGGCCTGTCGCGCACGATCTCCACGCCGAGATACTTCTTCACCGGCAAAATTTCTCGCAGCTCAAAAGCGTCCTCCAGCAGCTCCTTCAGCATCGCTATTCTACTGCTCGCGGCGAGAAGGTCCTCGACGTAGACCAGCACCCAGCAGGTCACCTTGTCATCTCCGGCCTTGAAGTACAAAGCCTCGTCGATTTGGCTCTTCTTCCACCCGGCGCCAACCAACACGTCGTTGCGAGCCGTGTACCACAGCAGTGGCGACTGCTTCAGCCAATAGAGGCTCTTCAGCAGCTCGCACACCCGACCCGTCCCGTCGTTGAAGTAGTCCGGCAGGTACATGTACAGCACACGGTCGATCTTGCTCTGCAAAAAGGCGTTTTTCATGTCCAGCTGCATCAGGTTGAGGTCAAGGACGGCGACGATGCTGAGAAAAATCCTCAGCGTGACGTAGCTGCTCACCGGCGCGTACGTCTCGTCATAGTCAGCGCCATACACTTGCCCGAAGCCTTTCATGACCAGCCTCGCCTTTTTGCGCTCGACAGTGTCGTCGATGTGGTACTTCGTTGTCAACACCCACCGGTTCTTCATTATGTTTACCCCCGGCGGGCGTTCGACCAGCTCCCAAGTGCCCATGTTGATGAGGCTACGAATCTCTTCCTCCATGGCGGCCTTCACCGCCGGGCCCTTCCATCTCGCCAACGCCTCCTTCACCGTCATGGTCGAAATGTCCCAACGGTGCTCGGGATCGGCGTGCATGTCAGGGTCGAGCTCCGAAAACTCCTCATCCTCCTCGGCGTCATCGTACGCCAGGTCGTCGCCGTCCACATCGTAGACCGTGGTGAAGGCAGCGGGGACGAAGAAGTCGGGTGGCCTCCGAATTCGGCCCGACTTCCGAGGTCCGGGCTACACCTCCACCACGTCGCTCGACGTGCCTTCATCGAACTGCTCCCTTGTCATCCGCTCCTCTGAAGCAAGCTCCGCGTTTGACGGCTCCCCTGTCGACGGCTTCTCTGAAACGCGCTTCGCGTTCCACGGCTCCCCTATTGACGGCTTCTCTGAAACACGCTTCCCGTTCGACGGCTCTCCTATCGACGACTTCTCTGAAACGCGCTTCCCGTTTGACGGCTCCCCTGCCAAGTGCTCCGTGGTCGGCTTAGCTGCTGCCTGTTACCCTGTCAGCTGCCTGCTAGATGCGGGCTCCTCAGCGGTCTCCTCCGAGGTCTCCTCAGCGGTCTCCTCCGCGGCCCGCTTCTCCGCGGCTGGCTGGGCGTCACGTCGGCCACCGGCGATGCTCTCGGCCGGCACCACAGGCGATGCCCTACGGCTCCCCTCATCGCCGGAGGCCGACACCGAAGTCAGGCCACCCTGTTCGACGGGAAGGGGACGAGAAGAAGGGGCAGGGGATGGCGAGGCAAGGGCGACCGTGGCATCCTCATCAGCCTGCTCACCGACCTCGACAAACAGAGGAAGCGTCGCCGTCGAGGTGTCCGTTGGCGGGGCGGCCCGCGTCCTGGAGGGGAGGAGAGGATCCTAGGACAAGGTTGATGGAAGACCTGTTCTGCATCATGGAGTGGCTGCAGGAGAGGCAGGGAAAGGTGGCATACTTTCTAGAAAACCCAGATCTGGAAGGAGACAGCAGGGAGCCGATCCTCGCTGGCTCACCTACCTTCTGACTGACCTCGGTGTGCCGCCTCGTTCTCCTCCAGTTCTGTACGTAGACAACAAGGCCATGCTGGCCTTGTGTCGAGAGCAGAGACTGGAGCACAGAACGAAACACATTGCTCTCCGCTACTTCCTTGCTCGTGAGCTACAGCAGCGTGGTCAGTTGCGGCTTGCGTACGTGGCCTCTGAGGCCAACACTGCTGATGTCTTCACCAAGGCACTTGCGCCTTGTGATCATCAGCGCTTCTGCACTCGGCTGGGTCTTGTGCCTGTCTTGCCTCACTTGCTCACCTCTTGACCTTGCTTGTACTGTTACATATATATATACCTGCTCTTGCTTGTCTAGTCTTACATATATATGTACTCCTGCATGTGAACTGGCCTTGTGGCCTTGAACTTGTGCTCGGAATGTGTGGTGACTTTGTGATCCACCCTGAGCTTGCATTGCTTTGCTTTGCTTGACTGGTCTTGTGACCCCTTGTTCTCCCCCACTTTGCCAATGGGGGTGTGTCAGATTTACATGACATAGCTACTATAGGCTATAATGGGGTAGCACATATGGGGTACAGCTCTCTAGGGTTCATACTTGTACTCAACTTTCACTTAGTCATTTTTCATTCTCGTTTCTTCTCATGCACTCACGTCCAACCCCTCGATGCTTTTTCGATTGTAATTCTCTCGAACTAGTGAAAGTTGCTATCTTCGCTCTAGCACACTGAGACACGTCACTAAGAGGGAACCTACGGACTGAGGGACTGAGCTCTCTCATAACACGGGGACTTCCCGGGAGGTCACCCAGCCTAGTACTGCTCTCGCCCACCGGCGCTTAGCTTCGGAGTTCTGATGGGATCCGGCGTAGTAGCCGAGGTATGATTGTACCACATGGAGACGGCAGAGGGACACGTAGTGGAACAGATGAAGCACGAAGTGCCATCTGGTGCGTGCCGGGGACAAGAGGAGGACACGGATGCGGACGCAGAACACGACGACCAGTATGACCAGCGCGAATAGGCGACGCAGGACGAGACGCAGGCTCACGACGCTCAGTAAGACCTCCGGGCTGCTCGGTGTAAGGAGAAGGAGCAGGCAGCGGAGAGGCTGGCAGTAGCTGTGGCTGGGACTTGTCAGGTGGTGGACACAGGAAGGGAGGAGCAAGGTCAGCAGAAGGCGGGAGACCAAGAACCTGCTGAGGAAGTGGAAAGAAGTACGGTCGCGGTCGCACAGCACCCCCTGCACTAGCACCGATAACACTAGTACCTCCACCAGCTCCAGCTCGAGCTGCAACTCCAGCTCCAGCTCCAGAAGCACCTCCAGCTCCAACAGCACCTCCAACAGCTCCAGTGGTACCTCCAGCCCCAGCAGCTCTAGTACCCCCAGTATGAGTGCCTCCGAGACTAGTGCCTCCAGCACCTCCGGCAGCTCCAGCTCCAGCAGCACCTCCAGCAGCTCCAGCTCCAGCAGCACCAGCACCTCCAGCAGCTCCAGTAGTACCTCCAGCCCCAGCAGCTCCAGTACCCCCAGTACGAGCACCTCCAGGACTAGTGGCTCCATCACCTCCAGCAGCTCCAGCTCCAGCAGCACCACTCCGGAGGCTCCAGCGCCGAGCAAACCATTCGCGTAGCTGCAGTGGAGAGAGAGACTCCGGCCGCGACAAGACACCCAAAGGGCCTCCTGGCTCAGCACACTCGGGCTCAGCACCCACAAGCTCAGGACCTCCAGGCTCTGCACGGTTAGGCTCAGTACCCCCAGACTCCGCACCCGCAGGCTCTGCACCCTCAGACTCAGCACCCTCAAGCCCAGCACCGCAAGGCTCCGCACCCGCAGGCTCAGCACCCCAAGACGCAACACCTCTAGTAGCACCAGAGTCGACAGCTACCTCGACAGGCTCGACAGGGTCTACCTGGGACACACCTGAGGGAGAGGACCCTGATGGGAGAGGGGGTCTACCGGAGGAGGACCTGGTGCTAGGAAGAGCGGCGGAGGAGGGAGAGGGGCAATGCGGTAGGGGAAGAGACGGTAAACGGTAACCGACTCGTCAAACATGACTACCTGAGAGGGCAGGATACGGCGTGAGGTGGAGTTGAAGCTCGATGCCGAGTCCAGCAAGGAGGGCGACGACGCCACACGAACACAGCCTGTGCCACCTACAACGGTGCACACGCTCCTCGGGCGCATAAAGGCATGCCAGATGGCAGCAAGAGTGGAGGCGTCGCTATACCGGGAGACGGAGCTGAGCATCATGCGTGAGATATCGGTGGTCAGGCCGGAGGTGCGGTTCATGATCCGCACTAAGAACGAGCGGGACCTCAAGTGAGTTTATGTTTAACCTCTGTCGACCAATCTATTGTTGTCATATACTATGTCGATGCCGCCCTAAATACCCCTTACCCTCGCCATTGTCGGCAGGAACTGTGCCGATCGGCGTCGCGGAACCATTGGCGATGCCTACACCGCCAAACAGTTCCGCCATATCATGATCAGGTTGCTGCCGACGTGGGCGGCCAAGGCGTGGAACCCGCGGGGTATGGGCCCTTCGTTGACGCTGTGGAGGTTTCTGCTGTTGAAGGTGCTCACGCTACTCTCTCACCACTCTCTCCTGCGCGGTCAAAGCATTCGCGATATCACGCTCCCCGACATATTCCTGTACCGAGTTGCGAGCACCTCGTCAGTGAACCCGGAGAACCAGCCGGTCGTCATGGTCATCTCTGCGCAGAACTCGAAGACGTCCAAGGATGCGCGTCTGCAGCAGAGCTACGCTGCGCGGCACCTCGAAGCGGAGTTGTGTGCTGTCGGTGAGACGGGCTTGTGGTTGCACTTCATCCTCGACCAGATCGGCCAGTTTCACGGCGTCCGCCTCATTCCGCAGGTGGACACCAGCACACGCGCAAGCTGGTACAAGAAGCACCTCTTCTTCGCCAAAAACGACACCGACCAAGGGGAGCTCTCCGCGGCAAGCCAACAACGCTGGACGCGGCAGTTGTGGGACAAGAACGGGGTGTTCTGCAAGAGGAACGTGCACGCCGCTCGAGCCGGAGGGGCACAGGAGCTGGCCATCGACGGCACGCCGCTCGCCGAGATCGCGGAGCTGGGTCACTGGGCGCTCGACAAGATGACGCGAGCGTACATCACCGCCATTCCGGTGGGGGTGGTGATGAAGAGGGCCGGTTACTCTGGTTACAAGCAGGACTACTTCTTGGGTCGGAGCAGGGTGCCGCCCTCCGAGAAGCTCCTAAAGCTCCTCGCCGAGCACATCTTCGCCAGCGACGACGACATGCTGAAGACGGTATGCTAGTCGACGCCCTCGTAGCCTTGTCTTCGAGTCGTGTTGCCGACCGTGTCTCAACTCCTCATACAAGTGACGAATTGCAGGCGGAAGGGAAGGCTGCCAATGGGTCCGACGCCGACAAAGCCGCGGTGCACTTCTGGCGCACACTCCAGATGCTGCGCCGCATCGTCGCCGAGGACCTAGCGGTGAAGCTGGTCCGCACACCATGGCACCCGTACGTCCAAGGCTCCATGCTCTGCCGGATCCCCCTCTTCCATCACTGGGCGAAACGGGTCGAGAGGGTCGACACCGAGACGATCAACAAGCGTTGGGACCCGACCCAAATTCAGGCAGAGGTAAGTCGGCGACGAGCTGTATGGAGGGTATTCCAAACCACCTCGCAGCTAACGTCTTTGTCCTACTGCTGCAGGAAATCTCTGTCCGCTTGGACACCGAATACTACAACATGTCCCTCAAGGCGACGCTGAGGAAGGTGATCGAGTGCGCCGCGAACGAGAAGTTGACTTCCAGGAGGAGCTCGAGAAGCGCGACGACACCATCGCGTCGCTCACCGCCGAGATAACCCATCTCACCGAGGCACTCCGTGTGTCAGAAGCACGGAGAGTGCCGGAGGCCCCGCCATCGGCTCCCGCGCAAGCTCCCAGCGAGGGTGGCTCGGCGGATTCGGCCAACATGGGAGCGGGAGCCGACAGAGGGGACGAGAAACCCCCGCCGCCCCCACAGACGGACAAGGAGGCTAGTTACGAGCTCAACGTGGTACAACCGTGGCGGGAGGCCAAGACCGTGAGGGACGCCTGGCACCTCTGGAACTCCGCAACCTCCAATGACACCCGTCGGCTTTGCGACAGATTCGCCGAGCCGGGCTTCGTCGACCGCCACACCCTCCTGTCAGGCGCGACGCAGGGTGCACTCAACATGAGGGTGCGCCGCATGCTGAGGGTCATGGATGCGGTGCGCCAGCTACGCGCAAGCGACGGCGACGCCGACACCGAGGCCGTGGTCGATGCACTTCACAGGATCGCGACACCGGGCATTGGGACCTTCGCCGATGCCCTCACGGTGCTCAAACCGGGTACGGCACCGATGTTGTCCAAGGAGCCTGGCATGGGAGTCAAGGGGCTGGGCCCCAAGGTGATCTCGAAGCTACGCCTTGCCTGTGCGCTTTTGGCGCTCAACCTGAAGCGAGTGATTGGGTCGAAACCCTGTTTCCAGACACCTGGGTGGAGCAGATGCCGAAGACCAAGGCCGACCTGGCGAGGCCGACCGCACCTGCCATGTCGACAGCACTGGCCAAGCCGACCGCACCGGTGCACCGTCCTCCGACCAAGCGCAAGAAGTCGGCATGAGCGCGCTTGTAGGATATGCGTCTGTGTTTTTTTATGCTGTTAACTGTGGCAGCCATTTACACACTCCCCCTCCCCCCCCCCCCCCCTTTCTTTTTTCAAATGCTGTTCCGAGAGTTTGTAACAACCCACTGCAAGGTCCTTGTGAACCTACTTGATCTCGGTGTGTTGAATGTTATCGGTCGCTCAGTAAGAATCAAAAATACTATCCTCAGCACCCCCAGTAGCACTACCCTCAGCTTCAGCACCCCTAGAGTCAGCACCCTAGGCTGAGCACCCCCAGACGCACCCGAGTCACCAGCAACCTCGACAGGCTCGACTACGTCTACCTGGGACACACCTGAAGGGGCAGGACCCTGAGGGGGGAGGGGGTCTACTTGGGGGGGGGACCTGGCACAAGGAAGAGCGGTGGAGGGGGAAGGGACGGAGTGCGGTAGGGGAAGAGGCGGTAGTAGGGGACCGACTTGTCAAACGTGACGTCCTGGGAGGACAGAACACGGCGAGAGGTGGGGTGGTAGAACTGCCACCCTGGCGCGTCAGGGGGGAAACCCAGGAAGATGCACGGAGCAGCACGAGGGGACAGCTTATCTGTAGACAAGTCGCGGACAAACGCCCGAGATCCCCAGACACCGAACTCAGGACCAGACCTGGACGCTGCAGCAAACACCTGGACAGGCGCAGCTACCCGACCAGACGCAGTGACAGGAGGAGACTCAGTGGTCAGTGTGTACAGGCTCGACACCGGTTGAAGTGTCGGCCCGTCCGAGCCTCAGTGCAGTGTGTCACCCGCTGGCTCGCAGGAGTGAACTGGTGCACTCCCCCATCCTGTAGGTCAGCACCACTCACCAATTTCGTAGAGAACGAGGGGAGGTAAATACCAGACAGGGTGCCAGAGGGAGCCGCCGGACACGGGAGGATAGTGGAGAAGTGAGCAAGGACAGGACCCCCAGAGGGGTCTGCCAGAGAGACTGCAACTGGCCGACCAAGCGGCGTGAGTGTGGTGCGGTCTCGAAAGAAGGAGCGAGAAGCCCCAGAGTCAAGGGTGAAGGTGAGGGAGGCCGAAGCCGACGCAGTACCTGAGAGAGCAGACTCACCAGCACCTGAGGAAGCAGACGCACTGGCACCTAGGGCAGCAGCCTCGCTAGCACAAAGAGCAGCAGCCTCACCAGCACCTAGAGCAGTGGTCTCAATGCCCGGGTCGGGCGGAAAACACCGGTAACAGCCACCCTCATCACTAATAGTCACAGCATACATAGCAGCAAGAATAGCATCAAAGTCAAGGTCAAAGATAGCTACCCCCGCCCTAGACAGCTCGCCCCACCGAAGGATCTCTGTGGCCTCAGGGAACTGGTGACGCCAAGCGTCCGTCAGGTGGCCAAAGCAGCGCTGGGAGGGGTGCGCACCCCCACACTGCTCACCCGCACGGTCGCCGGTGCGCAAGACGTAGGTGCACGGACCAGTACCCCCACCCCGCTGGCGAGCAGCGTACCACTCACGGAGCTGCTGAAGGGGGGGGATGTCCCGAGTGCACTGCTGCTGCTGCTGCTGGCGCTGGCCACCACCGGAGCCGACCCTCTGCGCAGCGCCACCCTGATTAGCTCCACCTCCTCCGCCTCCGCCTCCTCCTCCGCCGCGACCTCAGCCACCTCCGCTCCCACCGCCACCGCCGGCTCCGCCTCTACCTGCACTGCCGCCACCGACACCTCCACCCCCGCCACCACTCCCACCACCACCCCCACCCCCTCCGCCGGCTCCACCGCCACCTCCACCGCCCCCGCCAGCTCCTCCAGCTCCCTTGCCTCCCTTGCCCTTGCCTGTGCGGCGCTTCCCCGAAGGGGCAGACGCAGCGCCGACCGACTCGAAACCAACGAGGTCGGCCGCAGCAGTAGAAGCAACAGAGGGCAAGAGGGGGGAGGGAGAACACCCCTCAAAGACGGGGGTGCGGGGGTCACCACGAGAGGCTCCTACAGCGACTATGCTCTTCTCTGCTGCTAGGAGGGCCTTCTTGAGGAGGTCAACGGTGAGAGTGGTGGGGCAAACAGAGAGAAAGTGGTCCCTGACTACGCGGAGGGAGTCAAGGAGACGGGCAACTATGTAGTAGAGGGTGATGTATATGGAGGGGGGGGTTCTTGGCGCAGAACTCACCAGGAAGCGCAGCGCGGTAGCGAGTGTCACTAGAGCGGAGGTGTGTAATAAGGTCAGTGACTTCGGGAAAGGTAGCAAGGTCAGGGAAGAGGTACGGTAGCATGAGGCGGCTCAGTGCAGCAGTGGCAGGGGAGGAGTAGCGTGCAACTACAGCGTCATACAAGGTCTCAGCACTCTTGTACTGGCTAAAGTGCGCACGCTCAGAGGTAGGCAGGTGGCGACGCACAGCAAGACGTGCAGCAGCATTGCGCGTGGCCCACAGTGAGCGAACAGTGGCGTCAGCATCAGCAGCGGGGGCAGGAGAGGCACCAGAAGTGAGGTCAAAGAGGGAGAGGCCGTCTGCCCTATTGCTCTGTAAGAAAAGCTGCAGGTCATCTACCCATACGTCAAAGTCAATGGCCCTACCCTCATCGTCAACAGCGAGGACACTAGGGGTAGCCATGACAACAGTAGACTAGCAGCGCGAACAGTAGGGTAAGGGCAATGCAGTGGCAGAAGCGCTGCTCTTACCAGATAGGGCGGCTCGGCGGTGCGGGCGGCTCGGCTGCAGGGCGACTTGGCGGCTCGGCTGCTGGGCGGTTCGGCGGCTCGGCGGCTCAGCTGCTTGGCTGCTGGGTGGCTCGGCGGCTCCGCTGCAGTGCGGCTCGGCGGCTCGGCTGCTCGGCTGCTGGGCGGCTTGGCGGCTCGGCGCCTCGGCTGGCTCGGGCGACTCAGCAGCTCAGGCGGCTCGGCGTGGTGCGGCGGCTCGGGCGGCTCGGGTGGCGGGCGGCTCGGCAGCAGGCGACGGTGCCAGCGCCTCGGTGGTGACGACGGGGCCGCGTGGGGACGGCGGCGGGGCCGGCAGAGGCGGCGCCGGGGCCGCACAGGTAGGCGACGGGGCCGGGAAGGGCAGCACCTTGGCCGCAGGTAGGCGACGGGGCCAGCAAGGGCGGGGCCGGGTCGGGAAGGGCGGCGTCAGGGCCGCGGGGTAGGCGACGGGGCCGCAGGGCGGCGGATCGTGGCCGGGAAGGGCGGCGCGAGGGCCGCAGGGTAGGCGACAGGGCCGCAGGGCAGCGAATCGGGGCTGGGAAGGGCGGCGCGAGGGCCGCGGGGTAGGCGACGGGGCCGCAGGGTCGGGGCTGGGAAGGGCGGCGCGAGGGCCGCGGGGTAGGCGACGGGGTCGCATAGCGGCGGATCGGGGCCAGGAAGGGCGGCGCCAGGGCCGCGGGGTAGGCGACAAGGCCGCTAGGGCAGCGGATCGGGGCCGTCAAGGGTGGCGCCCGGGCCGCAGGGGTAGGCGACGGGTCGCTAGGGCAGCGGATCGGGGCCGCAAGGGCGGTGCGACACAGCCGCTAGGGCGGCGCGACACACCCACTAGGGCAGCGCGACAGGGTCGAGAAAGGGGAGCGCGACTCGGGCAAGGGCTGAGCGCGCTCCGGGTAGGAAAAAAATATCTAATCGGTGGGCCCTAGGAAGAATTCCCACGAGGGAACCTGCTCGATACCATGAGAAAACTTAAACGAGAATGAAATGAACTATCAAAGAGTTGGGTAGAAGTACTAACCCTAATTGGGTTGTACCCCTTATGGGCTACCCCACTACAGCCTACACAAAAGCATAAGCTATAATGTTCTGACAATAGGTGCCGTATCCCTGCTCCAGAAAATCGGGTACCTTTGTTTTCGCCAGGTAGTGCACAAGCCGAATCCACGGGTCTATGGGCTCGTTTCACTTGCCCATGAAGTAAAACGAGTCAACGAGAGATGAAAATTGCAACAGCTCCTTGTCCTGTACTTTCGAATGTAGGTCGATGTGCTACCGTCCCTCCACTTTCTGCAAGAGGTCCTCCTGCCTCTGCATAGCTGACCGATGCTTCACGGTCCCTTCATGTTTCTTGAAGGCATGAGTCTGCACGTCGGTAGCGCCTTCTCCACGCCGTCCACATTTGCCTGTCAATTTAGCAAACTGCAAGCATATGCTGCACTAAAAAGTAGGGGCAACAGAAGAAGTTTTACTAAGAATCATCCACGCGTTATCGATACACCACTTAGTTTTGTACCGATCGTGAGCTTCTTCATATTTCAACTCAAACTTATCGGAAGTGGGCTTTGAGCTGTCCCGCATGGGAGATTTATCGTTTGCTGGAGCTTGAACAGTCCAGGGAGGAGATGGAGTTGCCCACGCAATGGTGGACCGTCGGTACCGCAACTTCGTTGGTGGCGCGGGACGGGATGATGCTTTGACAGACGCCTCATGGACCACCGTCGGTGGTGCAGCTGTCACTGGTTTAATGGCGGCCTCGAGCTGAGGTTCTGAGTGTGTGGAATCTGGAGCATGACTCGAGCTGGGTTGCGACGATGGCGCTGGCGGTGCAAGAGGCTTCTCTAAGGCCGATATAAGAAAGTCTAGGCTGGTCACCATGTCGCATATAGGGTGACGATCGGCATCCTCTTCATGGTCGGGCTCTTCAGCGGCAGCCTCTGTGGCTGCCATTGAGTATGCCGACCATTGATTTTGCGAGGTCGGGAGAAGGAGCCTGAAACAAGGGTTTAGGCAGGTTTTCCAGGCAAGGGCATTGAACTGAAGAAAGAGTGGCAGGCTACAGAGGGACTGGCCTGAACGGTGGCGATGAGGAAGCGAAGAGGTCCTCGTATTAGGACCTCGTGCTCCGTGCATGCATGTCACCTGGTCGTGTATGCAGGGAAGGTTGGGTGGGGTGAATGGTTGTGGTGTCATGCGAGGAGCAGCGCGCTGCGAGCTATGCGTTGGCAAGGAATCTTGCCAACACTGCCTGCTGCACAAACCCGCTTGGTTGGAATTGCAGCTGATTACATCATTGTTGGACCAACGCGACTGTGCGGTGTCGCACTCAGAAAACT